CTACGGGATGATATCTCATTTGGTCAGTTAACTGTAAGTAAAATTTCATTTTGATATTTTTATAATACTTTTAGAAAATAATTTTAATAAATAAAATATTTTAGAAAAATATATAAAAATTCCTAATTTATTTTTCAAATTATACGTTGATTATCCAAATCTGAGATGTTGAATGCAAGTTTAGAAAATATTGACTTTAAAAGTTTGATATATTTTTTGCTCAAATATAATACAAACAACGATGAAGAATGAAGAGTTGAAAGAAACTAAATTCACCAAATATATGAAGTTATAATGAAATTTGAATGTGTCATTAACCCATTGAATTAATGAAAGCCTTGGATTCATAACCCTAAGAGAGAGGAGATGCGTCAACTAAGAATTTTAACCATCTACTTAAGAGATTTTACGTAAAATTTTAACCAACACGTTAAGTAATCAATTTAATGGGTTCTAATTTCTAGTGCTTTGAAATCGTAACGGTGTCACCATTGATCACATACCACCATGTGATACTTTCTCTTTGAAAAAGTGGTTGGGAAGCTGAAAATTGAGTTCACATAACTTTATCTTATTCAAAGCAATGGATTTCTTTGTTATAATTTATGTTTCCTTTCCCCAAAATGTGTTTCTTTTTTAAGTTTGATTGAGGATGGGATGAGTAAAACTAATCGTTTGTATTGATAATTTTTGTAAGAACATGATGTATTTTTGAAGTAGTTTCCTACTCATTTGGATATAAAATTGATTTATCAAAAAAAAAACTAATCGTTTGGGATAAGAATTACAAGTTATTTTTGAAGACTCGAAAATTAATAGACTTACAATAACTTTTTAGATGATATTCGAACATTTCTAAATCTAGAATTTTCTTACAAGACAATCGACTGTCGATTATCTTTCAAGGCATCTTGAAACGCCTTCAATTGAATGTTGAGAGTCAAAATATGTCTAATTTGGTGAAGAGAATGTGAAATTTCTCTATAAGATTAACACGAGATATTTCATTTATTACGATTTTTTTAATTTGATATTCTTATAAGTCATTGGTTATAATATATGAAAATATTGAAGGACTCTTCATAGTCAATGTTTTGATTAATGTGAATGAACAAATGATACTACTAAAATATTGTAGTAATTAAATAGTTATACTCTTACAAACAGAAGCAGGAGAAGAGATTGCTTATATATAATGTTATTGATTTTTAACTATTATTTTTGAATTATTAAGAATATATTAGAAATTCCTTTTAAATGAGATAAATCATAAATGAAAATATTATTCTAAAAGCGGAGAAAGAAATTTCATAAATTATTCACAATAATTCTACCAATATGATTGGATAGTTGAGATGAATTTCAAGATTCTTAGAAAACTGGCAAAATAAAAACAAATTAAGGAATCTCATGCATAAATAAATAAAATAAATTCACAGATATCATCAGCAAATAAATTAAAATTTTATATTCTTCATCTATTGTATCATTTTCAGACAAAAATCTGTCATTAGTTTAACTTGATTAACTATTAAAGATTCAAAGTTTATCGATCTTGTCAGCAATTATTTTCCTCAGCAAAATATATTATTTTTCTTAATAATATATATCAAATTTCCATAACCGAATTATATAAATATATTTTTAAACAACAAAAAATAATTTTCATTTAAATTAATCTTTTACAATCGTGAGCTTATAATTATTTCTTCCGACAATCATTCTACTTGCCTCAAAATGTATTTTCTTAAATAAAAAACACGAAAATAATATTCTTTCCTGATAATATTGTAAAAGAGCGAATAAGGATGATGCTCGGCTTATATAGGCCAATAGAATAGAGTCGTTAATGTTGGCCAAATACATTACGAAACAAGGGTAGCTTTCTATAATTTAATATTATATTGTTTACATAAAATAAATGTTGGGAATTAATTTTAATGTAAATATTGGTCAGTTTGTAAAAAATGTCAGCTAAAATTAAAAATAAATAAATTGTAATAGTGTTTCAGAACCAGCTTCACATATGTTGGATTTCACGGTAAAAAACATGTCCAGCTGGGGACAGACAAAAACATGTAGCATTTGACAACATAATATATGTCATATTTTTAAATTTGAAAAACAAATAAATATTCGTAGTATGATATTTTTAGGGTTATCCCATTAGAAGTTATTAAAGTAGGATCCGAATTTTAAATTAATTCTTCAATATTAAAATGCTTTAATTGGGTCCTCAAAATATTAATAGCGTACAAATAAAAATTTACATATGATGACATGTGTCACGATCTAATTAGACCTTATTTGCTCTTGCGTGGCATTGATTGATTTGTGTGACCTATGGACACCCTTTTATGCATGTGTCATTTCATTGATGTTGATTGATGGATATTCATGATGTTCGACTTTATAATTATGCGATGCTGACTATGTTTGGACGTAAATTATAGCAAGATTATGTGATAATCGGGTTCCCCTTCATGATATACCCAAAGGCTATGTGATGATTGAAAGATTATTTGCATGATTGGTGGAAATTTTACTGATACTGTGTGATAATCGAGTTCCCCCATATGTGATTAGTACCTAAAAGCTATGTGAGTTTGGATACTATAATTGTGTTGTGTGACGATTATGTGTTGCATATGATAATGCATAGTGTTATGGTATTATGGTTAGAGACTCAATATATGTATACTCATGGCGAGACCCTTAATAGCAAGACCCTTGGTAGTAAACTAAGGGAAACATGAAGTTCTTACTATTGTGATGGAACTATAAAACCTTAAGTAGGTTGCATTTGAATATGATCATGCATGTACCTACCGTTTATTATCATGTCTTTTAGCATGCTTATGTTTATGAGATTCATAATGCTACTTTATATTAGTGATTATACCATTGAGCTTTGTAAGCTCAATTTTTTGTTGTTTCCGTTCACAGGATAGTAGCTTGAGCAGTTCAAGGAACACTATCACAACAAGACTTCCATCATTCCTTCTAGAGTATTGTACTGTAGTTTTTAGTAAACATTTGTATTCATAGAACCCTTATTATTGTATTTCAGATTTGAAACTTTGAGTTTATATTATTTTGATTTAAATTGTGTCTCGGAGCTCCGATCTAATAAAATATTTTTATAATTATTATCAATATCTATTTGGTAAACATACCGTGTTTTAAATGAAAACGAAAAATTGTTTTGAATTTAGTAGTTCTTTCGGTGGCCCAATATAACACTTTATGCCCATTCAGGTTTAGCGTGTTACAAAGACACACCATGTATTATAAATTCAAATACTTGGTCACCGAATAAGAATTCTTAATTAAATTAACTTAATAAACAAATAATCTTCAACTAGTAAAATTACAACAAAATGCAATCTAATTTCTAACTAGAATTTTTATATATGTAAAATAATTTCATCCGTCTATTTCCAGTCATCCAATCAACGATTCTAAATTAATGTAAAATTAAAAGTTTTTTTTGTCTCATATTATAAATATAAACAAGTAATTTAATATGATGGAGTGGATGCTCCAAGAAAGCATTGATTTAATCTGCAAAGATGATTCCCTCGAAATTTAGCAATTCATAAATTGAAGAAAAACATAGTTTCATCAATGAATCAATAATATAATTACATAGCAAAAAGCTATAATACTGTCAAAACAACCACAAGGAAACACGGGCCATCCATAGCTTGGATATGCTTAAGAATATACGCTTGGATTCACCACCCAACTCTCTCATATTATTTTAAACCATCTTCAAATTGAACGAACCCATTTTTAGATTCTATTTTTTTCCTCAAAAGTTTATTCTTTTAAAATCAATAATCTTTGTTTTGTTTTGCAGAAGTGAAAAAGAATTGGATTTGATGCATGCACACGACGTGTATGTGAATATTTCTAAACAAACTTTTGTGTTTGAATTGTTTTTTTGCGAGAGAAGTTTTTGAAACAAAAGGGAAAGATGGCAACAACAGAAGCGTCAGAGAGAGTGGTGGTGATCCTGGACGGATCGAGGGAGGTAAATCCAATCATAATCAGATGGCCCTCGTGGGTTTATCACTGAAATCTGGAGACAAGCTTTTGTAATTGGAATCTTCACCAGGTTATTAATCCTAGTACGTTTTCTTTCATGGGAGCTCGAAAACTCAGTAAGAATTCATGCTTGTCTTATTGTTTCCTCGGAAAAGACTACAAAACGAGTTCGGGTTGAATCATGTCTGTTGACGTACGCAGAAATTTATGTCAATGAGCAAAAACTTAAGACACAACATAATAATTAGATAAAATACATAAATGGTCCTTCAACTATAGTGTATTATTTTATTGAGTCTTGTGTATATTTGTTTCAAAATGATCCTTCGACTTTAGGGTGTTATTTTGTTGGGTCACTCGACTATTAAAAGTTAGAAACTGGTCACCTGACTATATGTTCCAAACTTGTCCATTTTTGTTAAAAGATTGACGATCGTCTAAGTTGGACATTAAGGTGACTGAGAAAATAGTCGTTTGATATTTTGAGATCGAATTTTATCATATCCCATTCAACAGTTTAACGTTCAGCTCAAACCGTCGTTATTTTCAACAAAAAAAAAACGAGTTTGGAATATATGAATAGTCGAGTGACCATTTTATAACTTTTAATAGTCGAGGAACTCAACAAAACAGTACCCTTATAGTTGAAGGGCAATTTGTATACTTTACCCTTAATAATTTAGGAGTAATTGATTAAAACATCAATACAAAAAAAAAACTAAAGTATATAGAGAATTGAAATTTTTATGAAGTGCTATTACACCTTAACATTCCTCAATCCATCCCTATCGACTTACTGATGATATATGTAGATTTACACTGAAATCTTAACGTTTTCGTATAATCATTGTTTAAGATAAAAGAATGTTAGAAGAATCACGTTTCATGAATTGTTAGTTGCCCCTTTCTTCATCTTCATGAATGGTTTTGTTTCTCAGTGGGATTTAGATCAAAACTGGAATCAGGGTCAATATTTGGACCAAACAAGAGGATCGCTGTGGAAGAAATGGGGAAGAAGTTGGAAGAGTACAGAAACAATGCTGAGATCGTCGGAATATCCAAACAATGCAAAAAGGAGCAGGTATGGCTTTTTCCCTCTTATTAAAAGTTATGAAATGGTCTCTAATCGTAGAATGTTGTTTTGTTGAAACCCTGACAAAATAGTCACTCAACTATTCATATATTCTAAACTCATTACTTTTCGTTAAAAAATTGGCGGATGTCTGAGCTGAACGTTAACATGTTGACTGAGATGTGATAAAATCTGATCTCAGAACTATCTAAGTCGTATTTTGTGGATCGACTCTCTGTTTACATTATGTCGTCGAGTTAGTGCATGAAACATTATGGCATCGAGCCATGCTTGAAAGCAACGATTGTGTCAATAGACATCATTAAGACATGACTATCATATATCAGTCACCATGCTAAAATCTGACCATTTTGTACGGGGAGTCAACAAACAACACCTTATAGTCGGGGAATTATTTTGTAACTTTTAATAATAAAGAGACTCAATAAAACAACAACCTATAACCAAGGGACCATTTGTATACTTTACCCTTTTTATTATTGAAATCATTGATTTTGTTAAAAATAAATAGTAATAGTAATAGTAATAAATTGTTAAATTTTATCATTTTAAGAGTTAAAATACAATTTTATTATTATTTTATTTCAAAATTGGAATTTAAAAGGAATAAAATTTACAATCTTACCACTTAGGGGATCAGGGCTCTTGCCTCTCCCGTAGTTTCACCCTTAAATTCACATAAATTAGAAATGTGGATTAAGTTTTAGTACATTGATTCATGAGTTTTGAACTTCGAATTTCGATTTCTATAACCTTATTTTTCCATTTTCTAAAATAAATTTGTTTGTAAAAGAAATAGGTGAATTGAAGTTATGACTGTGAAATAGGTGAATTGAAGTTATGACTGTGAGATACCATATTTAAGTGTGTAATCGACTCAAGTGATAAGAAGTTCGAGATCGATTCATAATTTAAATTTAAATTTGAATCGATTGAATTCTATATTTGATTTTCAAGTTCTATTTAAAACAAGAATCAAATTGTTTAAACCCACCCAATTAATTTTTTGTATTAAGTAAAATTGAGTTTGGTTATTACATTAGAGGTTACGGGTTCGAATAACTACGTTTACAAGGGTGTGCGCTAAAGAAAATCTAAACAAATACTATAATATTATAGTGGCTCAGACCATTAAAAGAAATTAAAATGTTGATTAGATTAATAAGTTAAATATATTAAAGATTAAAATAATTGAATTTGAGTAATTTGTACTACGTGAATTTGATTCAGTAATAATCGGTCAAATCTATTTATTTTAATCAAATTTGAGTAATTTAAGCAGGGATGAAGTTATGCCTCGTCCAGGAGCTACTGCATCCTTTTCTTATTATTAAAATATTAAACGGATAAATCTTAAATTAAAACTCCTAATTTTAATTATTTTGAATTTACTCTTTTTTACCCTCTCACTTTTTATAGTTAATTATACTTTGTCTCCTTCAATTTCAATCCTAGATTTATAGTTGGGTTATTTTATTTTCAGATACAATTTCGGATAGAGATGTTAGCAGGTTATCCATTAAGGGAGGTTGCTGCAAGATTTGTGAAAAAAATCCGTGCAACATGGTTAGTACTCGACAGGTATGTTTTAAACTCATACGAATCGATATTATATGGGTAAATTATATATTTAGTATCTAAATTATTATTTTATTCCTTTTTGGTATCCAAATTCTATTTTATTTTTAAAACCATACCTTATGGTAACACGTCAACATTACCATTAATTTTTAACGACGGTATTAAAATGAAAGATAAACTAAGCATTAAGTATGATTTTGAAAAAAAATAAAGTTTAGGTACCAAAACAGAACAAAGTAATTGTTTAGGTACTAAATACGTAGATTAACCTTATAAATATTATTTTTTATATTATAAATTAATTATTATCAGATTTTAACATTGTGCATGTATGCATCTTGGAGACAGGCACATGAAGAATGACCAAGGTACCTTATAGAAACCTATCATGTAAGTAAGATTGAAGGAAGATTGCAATGCTGTAGAGTTAAGAGGACCAATGTAAGGGATAACTTCAAGCTTCTGGTTCCGAGTCGTAGTAACGTAACGTATGCGGAAATGATTGGCTGACGAACAGTCTCCTCGGAGTAAGTTGTTCGGATTGCGACGTAAAATAGACTATGTTCATGTCAAGAAATCATAATTTCATTCTTGTTGCAGAACATGAAGGGGAAGGCGTTAGGAAATCTGTTTCACGTTCTTCAGCTTCAGTTTCGAGTATTACCGGTATAGAACATCAGTTTCGAGCTATAACGAACGAAGTCGTTGTCCTTGCAAGAACATGCTACAACTACGGGACCGGAAACGGGGGAAGAACATTCCCCGGTATCCATCGATGAAAGTGGAGACCAGAAAGACCTGCATAGTCCGGATGAAAACTCGAAACAACATAACGAAACAATGATTGGATGGGGGGAAATCCAGAGATCAAGTGTTCAAAAACTCGCTGTGTTCGATATGCAAAAATCGGAGGCGAGAATCGGATGGATGAGACTTCACTTATGCAGAGCTCCTAGCTGTACAGAAGGGTTCAATGATAAGAACTTCCTATCGGAAGGAGGATTTGGATCCGTCTATAAGGGAGAGATCAATGGGTTGAAGATTGCAGTAAAGCAATACAAGTACAATGCAAGTCTCCAAGGAGAGAGAGAATTCAAATCCGAAGTCAATGCTTCGGACGGCGAGACACGAGGAATTTGGTCATGCTGGTTGGTTCTTGCTCCGAAGGAAACCATAGGCTACTTGTCTACGAATACGTTTGCAATGGTTCACTCGACCTTCATTTTCGAGTAACGACTCATTCAAGATGACACCTTGGTTTTTCTCTTTTCGCGATGAATTATCGACATCTAATCGATGTGTGTATGTTGTTCTTGTTAAATTGATTGCAGAGCACTCCAGAAGACCTCTTAGTTGGGAAAGAGGGTTAAGATAGCACTGGAAGCTGCTAGGGGCTTGCAATATTGCACGAAAACATCATCCATCGAGACATGAGACCACTCGTAACCCACGAATTCGAAACACTGGTAATAATCGAACTACATTCATGTCTTCTGCAAGTACATTCATTCTTTACCTCAACTTATCGATGTCCGTAACTGGATCACTATTTCAGCTAGGAGATTGGCTTGGCAAGAACTCAAACATGAAGATTCAGACAAGTCATCGGAGACAATAACGAGAGTTGTCGGAACATTAGGATACTTGGCACCCGAATACGCTGAATGTGGCAAAGGGTCGACCAAGACGGATGTTTATTCCTTTGGAGTTGTGCTATTGCAGCTCATCACCGGAATGAAGACTACAGACAAAAGACTGAAGGGAAAAGCCTTGTAGGATGGGTAAAACTCCAATACCAGAATAAATTCTTAACTAGACTGAAAGATGTATCTGACACTGATCCGGATAACGCATTCTAGGTCCAACTATTACCAACTAAAGAGTAGCACCAAGAATATAAAGGACACAAAAATCTTCCATTACTGACAAAAGACTTGAAGGGAAAAGCCTTGTAGGATGGGTAAAACTCCAATACCAGAATAAATTCTTAACTAGACTGAAAGATGTATCTGACACTGATCCGGATAAACGCATTCTAGGTCCAACTATTACCAACTAAAGAGTAGCACCAAGAATATAAAGGACACAAAAATCTTCCATTACTGAAAACTTCGATCTTCATGCAGGCAAGACCATTACTGAAGGACAGGAACTACCCGGATTTGATTGACGAGAGGATCCTCGATTCGCATGATGTTCATCAACTCTTTTGGATGGTTCGAGTAGCCGAAAAGTGTCTCACCAAGGATCCTAAGAAGAGATTATCGATGGATAAGGTAAGCTTTTAAAAAACTTTTCAAATCAGGATTCAGTTCTACAATAATTCAGCAACATCGATATCGAAATCAAGCTTATCTCCTATGTTCAAACACTTAAGATATAATAGTAAATACTTCATGAAAAATGAAGAGTCGAAACAACATGAAAAACAACTAAATAGAACTAACCGTTCTATCTTTAATATTATGCAACAATTATGCAGGTTGTTTTTGCTTTGAACTACATAACGGATCGTCAAAGCACTTGTAGCATCGAAGTTTCTCTCCTGCACAATCAGACACTGTGAGCAAGGGCTCGTGTGATTCACAATCACATCTCCCAACGACGAAGCTTCATCCTTCACCATAGAAAACTGCTGCTGCAAGTAGCCTTAATCATTTTAATGTCAGGCTTCCGCCATCACCGCCGATATGGAGAACATCAAACGTTTCGCCTTTTTTACCGAGTCTGCATCCACCAGTGGCTCGATCATGAAAGACATTCATGATGATGATCCAATGTTTTACATGATTTAGAATGATTTACTGTCAATTACGACCTTTCTTTTTTTTTTTACTATGAATTAGGAAACATGGAATCGAATCACACCAAATTAATCATTCTGAAAGGATATTACTATACAATCATCTTCATCCAACTTAGCTTTTAAATATTTTTTTCAGATGAATCAGGAATACGATCAAATATGATCGAATAAGGGCTCATCAAATACGTTTGACATACGCATTTTAGCTTTGGGTATATGTTAAAATGGTAACACAATGAATTATAGCATAGAAACATGGATTCATATTTCTGATCAGTGATTTATCCATTGCAAGCATCATATATTTTGCACACAATCCCATTTGCAATTGATCATGAAATTGTTTCAATCAGGAATAAAGGAATAAAGGAATAAGGGCTCAAAATCTTTTTATTTTCTTATTGAGTCCAGTGTTCGGTACAAACCGAATTACAAAACATCTTATCCAAAGTCTAAACTGAGCAGGCTGTTGGTCCCTTGGACTACAAGTTTAATCCTCGTTACTTATTTCATGTCATTTATGCAGAGTGAGACAGTTGGGACGGATTGTTCCGTTCTTCCCCAAGATCATATCACTATACCGAAATACAGATATGTGTCAAACACTCGTGTTGGATACGGATACTTCCAGAAAAATAAAGAATTTGAGCAACATGGCTGTCTGGGATTCCATGCCAAAAGTGCAAAATTATTCTTAAATTATAACAACAGCTTGAATACATTTGTATACCTCAAAGTTCCTGAATGGCATAAAAGCATCCAACAGTGCAAGAAAAAACACCAACAAAAAAAACAATACACCAAACATCCATGGCTCGCATCAGATTAGTCTCATCCAAATCAGGTTCGCTCAACTACTCGAATAAAAAAGTAATGGAAGCAATGAAAAAAACAAGTTCTGGAGAAGTTCATACCAGTGAGACAGAAGACCTCAAGGGAGTTCGGACATTTTAAAAGGCATATTATTCCATGCACATGAACCAAGGCCCCATTCTTGACTTGAAATAGATGTTCCGGCTCCCATTTTCTTGTACTCCCTACTCAAATCATCACCAAGAAAGGGTTGCTATGGCATCTGTCATGACTGTTTGGTCCTCATCAACCAAACCACTGTCCCACTGGATGGGAGCCTCTTTTTGAATCTCCGTAGTTAAAGCATTGTCAGCTGGTTCAGATTTCATGAGACTGAGAGAAATCCAAATCAAGTTACTAAATTCTAGAGAAACTGCTGAAAGTTTTTATCATGCACAATACACACTTCCACTAGACTTGAAATATTAGTTCAACAACTATCATAAACATCTGGTGAAAATAAAATCAATTTTATAAAAAGATGGAGCAAAATAAAAATGTAGATAATTTTCAAATAGTTTAGACATCACTGGAATCCCATATAAGATGCTTGATTCAAATGATCAACTTTTAACAACGTTAAAGATAATTTTCCTTTTCTTATAATGAATGAAAAGTGTAATCGAGTCTCAGTTTTAACAAGCCCCGAACAGAAAGATGCTCACCAGAAAAGGTTTCAGCAGATGACGGTTCATCCGACGAACTGCCACTTGCACTGATACTCACTGAAAAGAGAAGATACTGAATGAACCATTGGAGAAAGAGGCTCTCTGCATTTTCCCCAAGCTGTCTTGCAAATGTCGAAATCAGAACTTTCAGTTATATCACCAGGAGTCGATGAATCTGAACTCTTGCCAGATGCATGATTCTTCACACTGCTTAGAGTTTTTGCCTCATGAAATACAACATCCAGCAGACCATTATTAAGGGGTGAAAGACTACCCAACTCTAGTCCACTTCTTGGTGGCGGTGACTGGATAAAAGCATCAACAGACTTGGAATTGTCATCTGGAAGCGAATGGCTACCTTGGAATACCCAAATGACTTGGAGTTCTTAGCTGCAGGATCTGGTCCAATGGGAAAGGACACCCAAAGGATTGAGCAGCCTTGTTTGACATACCATCTTCAAATTGCTCAAACAAGGGCATTCATTTTTAACAGCACCGGTATAATCAGGGAAAAAGGTTGGTCCACGAAGACGCTTCTGGCAGTAGATAGTTGGTGGCATGAAACTAATATTGAGAGGAACCTAGGTCTTTCATTAGCATGCTGCTCGTGGATATGCCAGGAAGTTCAGGGACATAAGGCAAGACATTTTGATTTGCATTTAAATTGTCAAATACAACATCAGGTATCTCATAGCGTCGTTCTGCAAGATATCACGAGGCCCTTTATCCCCTCCATTAACTGCAGTGGTACTGTGGCTCTCCTGCAGAGCTTGCATGCACACTTCCGGAGGATACAGAGGTAATCCATCATGTTGACATCTCTTAATCCGCGTATTCCAATAATTTTTTTATCTCATTATCTATACGATCAGGCAACTGAAAAAAATAACAAAGCATAGAGAAACTTATTTCGAACACCCAAGGTTGAAATAGCTCTGTCATAGAGCACTCTGGAAGGCATAAATTGATATTACTCAGCATCTAGCACAAAAAGAGTACAGCATTGCTCATATTTATGAAGACTCATTACAACTCATAACGTACTTTTATTCCTT